GGTAAGGGATGGGGAGTGATGGAATTCAAATCATTCATTTATGGTAAGAAATAATCAATTCTTTAATTTGTGAGATTCAAATGAATTCAAATGATTCCATCCATTTCAATATGTGAAAGAAACAAAGAATTTGAAATTTGATCGAGTAACTGATCATTCTAATTCATTTGAATTCTACGAACCAAACAACAGTTTACTGAAAATTTTATGAATTTTGATTTTTATTTAATGATAGAGTAAACTACAAATTTGGTTCTTATGGCTTGTTGAAAATAACATTTTTCATCTTTGTAGTTTCAAAATTACAAACTGATCATCATGAATTTGATTCCTTCCTGTAAGCGCCGTTAAATAATTCCACTAAATAAGACGCATATTTTGAATCGATTTTATAATTTTGGTCCCTATGTTCTTTGATTGGATAAAAAGACAAGAAAATTCGTTAAAAAGATGAAAATGAGTGTAATTTAACATAATCTTTTAATGGCTCTTAAAGGGATGAAATCTAAACGTTTTTACAAATCATAATAACCATTTTTTAATTTCAAAGATAAAAAAATGTTACTTTGACAAACCATATGCGGACTAGATTTGTATAGACAAGTGTCCAACTTGACACATAATTTAATATTAATATTTTATTTTTTAATATATCTATAAACATCATTTAGAAAAATAAAAGTCCATTAACATGATAAATGTTAAAGTGAATTTTTTGAAAACATCTGCTTAGGGGTGGTTGAAATTATTTATTTAAAGTGTTTATTAATTTATTTTGATGTGCTACTAATAATAATGAGTTTTTAATAAGTTATTTGTTTCTAACTTATTAATTTATTTTGGTATGGTATCGATAATAAGGAATTTTTAATGTTTGGATGAGAAAATAAAAAAGAATCTCATCTATTTTATCAGCTTATTCGGTGTGGTACCATTATAAGCTAATCCAAACATTTTTTTTATAAAACTCCAGTTTGTCACCACATAAGTTGATAAACACTTTTACAAAAAAAATAAAATAAAAAATAAGTTGTTTTAAATAAACAATCTCAAACACCCCCTTAAATTAAAATATAATTTTTTTGATTTGCATTTATATGATTTAGAAATAATGTTTAATATCCTAAAATTAAACATGATGGACAAGAAATAAATCTCTCTTAACCATTTTGATCGATCTTAATGCATAAGAAATCATATACAACTAGATAGTTTATATTTAATGATTAGATTTACCTTTTTCATGATGAAAGAAACTTAGAGGCCGTTCACTAAACGCTTACTCGGTAAGTACTTACCGGGTAATTTTCCTCACCGGATGAACATGACAAGTACCAAAAATCTTGCCCGGTAAGAGCGATTATAAGGATGGAGAGTCTTACCCAGTAAGTGAGGGTGACGACTCTTACCCAGGTAAGCGCTTACCAGGTAAATTATTGCATATGATACGTTTTGATGTACTACAATCTTACCCAATAAATAAATTATGGTGTTGACTCCTAAAATTAAGCACTTATCGGGTAAACATTTAGGTAAACGACCCCTTAGCATCTTAATAACCGGGATGCGTGTGTTAGAGAGCAGAGATGCACAGAAAACTCGATAAGCTGATCTAGACTAAGGACCATTTTTGAAACAATTTGTTAAGATCAGATAAAGACGTCTCAAGAAGATCAATTAAGTATTGGATATCATGCCCTATCAAAGCCATTGTGGACTTGATATTTGAACCTATTTCTAGGCATAGGAATGAGATTCGTCACATTGCGCAACTCGGTGTACTCACCCTAACAGGATTGAGATTCTCCGCAAAACTGAGGACTGGGATAGGGATGAGAATCCTCAAAAGTTAAAAACCAGGGATGGGGTCAGGTAACGTGATGCCGATTTGCTTTGTCCCCGTATATTATATGTATATTGTATATTTATTATTGAATATATTTTTTATAAAAACAATTATATTTAGTATCTTTTATATTTAAAAAAAATATATTTTGTATCTTTTATATTAAAAAAAGTATTTTGATCTTTTTTCTTGTATACAGTTTTTTCTGATTCGTCATTCTTTTTTTAGATAATAAAACATAAAAAGTTAAAAGCGTTTGATCAAACAATTACGTATGAAGTTGTATTTTTGTTCACATATGATTATTTAATACTCCATAAAAGCATAATTTTGAAAATATGCGAGATTTAAACATGTATCATTTTGGATCGAGTGTGGTGTTTACATTTGATTTAAAATATTTCACACAAATGAGAGAGAAGTCCCCAATTCCCTGTTGAGGATGGGATGACAACATGATCATATTTCTTGACAGGGACAGAGACAAACATAGAAATTGGGGTCGTAGCTCCATCCTTGTCTCATTCCTATGCTTACCTATTTGTACTCAAACACCAATAAACTTAAAAAAACCAAAACAAATTATGTGTTGAAAATTGAAACCATACATGTGTAATTATTAGGATATGTTATATTGTCGGGCTCAAGTCGCTATGTGCACCAAAAACACAATTAAAGACGTTCAAATGATAACTTCAAATAAACCTAATTCACAAAAACAAAACGGGTGCCAATTCACGAAACATTTGTCATTGCCCATTTGATGGTTATCTAAGATTTGAAACATAAATCGTGATTTTGAGTGCAAAATTTGTACAAAGATTTAGGGAAAACAATTTAGATGAAGGAATTGTAGACGAAACCACTAAAGAAATTTTGTGGAGTGAGGAGGAAACATCAGAAAACGATGGAGGGTTTTAGTTTCGCGGATTCGAGTTTGAACTACTCATTTAAGGTAATTCTCTTTGACATCAATTAAACTAGTGGTTTCGTTTATCAAATGATTACGATGTAAGTGCTTATTAAAGAGAGATTACCTACACTAACCTTATTATGTAACATTATCCGTCATCAAAATGGTTTGTTGGTAACCGTCTTAAACCCAATAAACATTTATCGGGTATTTGTTATGTTTTTTATCGGGTAACATTTTTTGTCCTTCTCATGCTCAATCAATAAGGTTGTGTTTGGTACATGGGACAGGACAAAACTCACTGTACTATGTTTGGCGCGACATGAGACATGACAAAAACTCATTGTCTCACGTTTGGCGCGACATGAGACAAGGACAAGAACTGGGACAGCGTGAGACAAAAAAACTTTTTCTTGTTCCACCACAATATATGGAACAAGATGGGACAAAAATGAGATAAAAACTAAATATTACTTATACCCTCGTTTTATATATATGACCTTAATATGATTTATGCTTTAATGCTTACCACCATAGTTGTTGCCCCCGCCGCCGTCGGCCACTTTCACCCCCTCTTCACTACCACATCCTCCTCCACCACCAACCACCACCATTCATTGCCACGTCTACAACCACCATCGGCCACCGACCACCATAGATCATCACCACCACCGGTACCATCGTCGGCCACCAACCACCATAGGTCATCGCCACCACCACTACCACCATTGGCCATCGCCACCACCGCCCATCGCCACCACCACTAGTCTGTAAAACCATAAATTTGAAATCACCGCCGCACACAGCAGCGATCATGGCGTACAGTGGGAAAAACCCACTGTTGGGTCGAAATCGATTTGTAAATATTGGTGGGAATTACTCAAGAACATGTTAGGAATTAAAAGCAAGAAGAAATTCGAAAGAAATCAACGGAAATTGATGTTGGAATTCCGTCGAATCGCAATCGGGTTAAGAAGATGCTACCTGAGGCCGAGTGGATGCTAAATGGATTAGGATAAGTTTATTGGGCCTTAGGTTATTAATAGCCCATCAGATTAGGGCTCCATGTCTTGAGCCTTGGGCTGCAACATGGATCCAGAAAGGTTCGGATCCCTTCCGACCCGCCAGCTTTTTAGGATATGGGGATTTACAATTACGCCCATGAGATTAGTTTTGTTCTACTACTTTATTTTCAATTTGGTGCGTGTGGCTTGTAAAAATAACAATTTTGGTCCATGTAGTTTCTAACTTATAAAATAACCATCATGGTTTGTAAAAACATTTAGATTCAATCCCTCATTCTAATGACCGTTAGAAAATTAAGAATATTTTTGTCTTTTTATAAAAAAAATATTGTCATTTACACAGTAAAAAAACCATAAAGACCAAATAATAAAATCAATTTTGATTGGTTAAAATTATAAAAAGATAAAAATATCTCTCATTTAACGGAATATTCTAATGGCCTTTAGAGTTTAGGACCAAGTCTTGACATTTTTATAAACCACGGGTAAACACTTATAGGTGAAATTAGCACTATCATTTACTTAACCAGCAAGATTTTAGTCAACAAAAACGGCATCATATGCAACAATTTTACCCGGTAAGCGTTAATTGTGGTACGTAAGGACGATGACTCTTACCATGGTTAGCGCTTACTAGGATAAATTGTTGTATACGAGACGTTTTAGTGAATAAAATCTTACCCGGTAAGTAAGCGATAGTATTAAAATTTTACCGGTAAGTGTTTAGGTAAACGGCCCCTAAAAGATCCTTCAAAATATATTTGAACAAAAGGGTCCATACAGTGTGAATTTATTCAAGATATATGATCCATTGAGCTTAGATAGAAATGCTGTTAGGGACTCCCATGCCAGTCACCCCAGGTTTTGAGAAAGGCTTTAGAAGTTGGTATGGAGGAATCCCAACTCCATTTCTGTTCTTCAGATTCGTATTTGCATTCCTATCATCAATAATTCCCTCCAACTCTTTCAACTTTCCTGCAAATCTTTCATAAGCTGCCTTTATCTTCGGATTCAGCTCGAACGATGGCTCCATTTTCTCCCCGATATATTCCTCATCCGGTGAATGATTCGATAACACATCCAAAACCGACATCACCTGTGACGCCTGAAGTTGAGAAGGAAACGTAGCCAATAGTTCGTCTTCAGGCCTGTGCCGAAAACTCTCCCATCTTTCTTCTGTTGGGTCTTCACATGGCATTTTGATTCGAGCGATGGTGGATCGGCCAGGAACGTAACCTCCATAGTCATACTGGCCGAAGTTAACAGCCGCATGGTGACCGGAAGTCACCCATATCATTGTTGCAAGGGTACCGATAAGGTCTTGTGGAGTTGTGAGAAGAGGCCACCATGGTTCGTCTTTTTTGTCTTGGTGACCCAGCGTGCGGATCTCGGTCCACCATGCTTGAAGTTCTTCATCAGATGCTACCAGATCGGCGTTAGGGTAGTAATGGTCGACATAATCAGTAACCCAACCTTTAATCGCATCCCAAAGGACCAAACCGTCATTTGCATATGGATAATCTTCGATGGCTAGCTTCAGACCATGCGGAGAGTTCGGATCTTCCTCAGCCATACCCCTTAACATTAACATTAACAAGTTTAGAATTTCAAATTAGTTACAACTGAGAAAATATACAATAAAACAAAATCTGCCCGAATATGTCTTTTGAGGGCTGTTTGTTTGGTTGGTTTCCTATTAAGGGACTGTTTACTTGCGGCTTTATTAGACTTATTGGTCTATCTGACTTATTCACACAACTCATTTGGGTTGTTTATTTACGGCTTATTCGCACAGAACGTGGCTTAATCACACAAATAGAAATAATGTGTTGTTCCCATTAAGCCACAAAAATGACACCCCTACTTCTTATTTAAAGTACCGCCTCCTTCCCATATGAGACACCCCATCGTCGGCCTCTTTATGACTTTTTTTTTATGTTCAAATAATTAATATTTGGGGGTAAATCGGTCATTTATGTTATTTAGACCGTTGGTTCAGATAAGAAATAGTAAACAACACTCATTTATCCAGATAGACAAATTTATCTGCACAGACAAATTTATTCATACATGACTTAATAAAAAATTTGGTAAACAGAACTCATATAAGGATAAAGTTGTCTATGTGGATTAATTTTTTTGTACAGATTGAGAAATTTTTTGTTTGGGAGAGTTTTTTCATAGATGGAAGGAGCGTGTTTTTTTTATTGGAAGGAGCTGGTTTGAAAAAAACTTGGCTTTCTGCATAAAGCTCCCCCTTAAAACCTTATTGAATAAACCACTTTTTATATCATTAAGCCACCACCAAGCACTTATCTATACCTGAACGAATAAGCTCTGAGTCTCATTAAGCTGCTAACAAACAAGCCCTAAATATCTTAATAGACTACTTTATAGGACTTACGTTGATAAGATTATTTAAACACATTGACAAGTTTTTTACTACGATTTTGAAATAAAATGTCATATTAATCTTTTTATATGATATTATTTCACAAATGTCCTATAAAAATAAGTGGCCTGTAAAAAGCCTTGTTCATAGGATACTTTTCAAAAATGTGTCTTATAAAAGAACTAATATGACACTATTTCAAAAGTATTGTAAAAAACTTATTCGGATGCCTAAATATGTTGCAACATCTTGTTATAACACTTTTTTGCACATGACATACAATTGTTTGGTACTATAAGACAATTTATTAGAACATTTAGACATTTTTTATGTGCTATATAAAGTCGATTTTGTTGCAATGATATTACGTCTTACCTGCTAATTAGGTCCGCTGGCAGCCCTTCTTGATCAAAACGCCACAGTTGACCATATGCGATTGAACTCAGCTCTATGCTATACTTCCCGGGCGAAAAGCATGACTCGATGATTCCCCCACAATTGATGAGGGACTCCCTAGCTAAAGCGTTGATCTCCATCGTGTACCGAAAATGAGGGTGCAAAAGTCTATAGATGGGATGCATCGCACTAAGCTGGCGGTTACATGCAATTATGTATGGCTCGGTGCAGCAGTGAGTTCTCAGCCTGAAGATTTGACCCAATAACGTAAGATCGCATTCAAATCACATATGAGAGCTTCTATAAGAATCCAACAAAGAGATACGAAAAGAAAACCACAAGGGTTGCCGTTGTGAACACTGAGTTTATCAGGGCTAATATCTTACGGTCATAATTTGTCGGGATTAGTGTGGAGGAAATAAAGAAAGAAACAAGATTATGGACAATGGGACACTTACCAGTGACTTACAAGCTGGTGGATACCAGTGTCATGAGCAAGAAAATGCACCTTAGCAAGCTTCCAGAGCCAAGCTGCAGTCGAATCCCAAGAGGGGGTGAATGCTTGCTTCCATTGAGGTTTCCCGTTGCCAGGTGGACGAACTAACTCAATGGCTACCGGCCTCAAGGTTCCGGTTGGAGTTAAGAACATCAATAATCGTGAGCCGTACAAAGTGGTTTTCATATCTTTGATCTCTCTAACTTTGTTCACATATGGCAGGAGTATATCATGGTAATCTATAATGAAAAGCTTCTTTCTTTCTAAAGCCTGCAAGTGATTAATTGTACATCATAGTTCCAGTTTCATCTACCAAAATTGTCTTTCGTATAGTAATCGTGCTCTCTTTTACTTCTACGGTTCTATCATATATCAATGAGATCGATAATGAGTGGTACCTGCTCAAGAGGGATGAAGCCTCCGATCACATGCTCAACTATCTCTTTTGTAATCGCTGATTCCGGTGGCCCATACACCTCAGGGTCAAGTTTACTTTTTAGAGGCCATTCCTATACAACCCATAAGAGTCAAAGGTGCTGATATTTGAATAATTAAGCTGTCATCACTCAATCACCATAATCATAACTGCTAAGTTTTAGAAGCTAAATATAATGTTTCAAAGCAATAATTAATTAAACTTCACTTACAGCTTAATGAGCTTAATGGTCGCCATACATACAAGACCGTTGTGTACACTTAGGGCATGTTTGTTATCAGTTTAGTTATCTTAATGGGACTGACAGCTTATTCGGTCAACTATATATACATGACTGTATGGTAGTAAATTAATGACATAGATAGTGACTTATTCTAAAAAACTTTTAGGAGAAGTTTTATGTAGAAAACCAAGTTTTTTTTTCTTTCAAACATGTCCCTCCCAATTAAAAAACACGATATTTCCATCTATGAAAAACCTTCCTAATTTATACAAGACTAATGAAAAACTAACCAATAAGCCCTTAATCGTTAAGCCATTAAGCCAAAATGGCTATATGAAATAAGCCAGGAACCCCTCACTTGTCCCCTTTAAACCACCTAAAACAAACTAATACCATAAATAATCCAACCCTCTTTGTTTGTCTTACTCAAACAGAAGAAATTTATCGAAATCTAGACAACTTAATGCATAGAAGGCTTAACGGAAATAAGTAAACAACGCTATTGAAAATCAACTCCATCATGTGAGATACCCGGTTGAAAAGCATACTTTGACCAAGTGAATGCCACATGGGTTTAGACCAGCAAGGGTTTGTCGACAAAATTCTTCATCCTTGATCCAGAAAAACTTATCTCCTGCAACCAATTGGATAAACAAAAGACTTGTTACGTACGAGTATATATACAAATATGTAAGAAAATAAGGTGAGAGAGTTTGAGTAATTACTGTGAATTCTTTCAGGGGTCTCGAAGCGTAAGATGTTATTTTGGGTATCTCCAACGAGTTTCAGAAGTCGAGGTAGAGCATCTCCAAGAAACCCCTTGGATTGTAATGGAGGCAAATGAACGCCTTCGTTGAACAGAGAATCGATGGATGTGAAATGAGGAAATCCAAGTTCTTTGTCAATAATGGATGTTTGTAAGGAAGGCACGACTGCATGCATCACCGAGTATACAGTCTTAGCCGAAAATGTCAAGTTTTTCAACTCTGAAAAGGCTTCATCCCTTGGCACGTAAAAGCTACTGCTCCTTGACTCTGATAAGGGATCTGTATTCACAGTTTTATTCAATCAACAACCATCATGTTTTTTTTTTCCTTCCTGGAATGAATAGAATCAATTGATGTATGGTTATCATTTAATATGGGTCGGCCTAAGTGGAAAACTATTAAAAATAATGAAAAACTGAGGTACGACCTGTTAACCTTTCATTTTGACTGTTTGTATAAAAATAATTTATAAACAATTTATCCGATATGCACGTATATATAAAAACCAAAAAACAACTTTAATTATTTGTATGCATATGTATGCTATCCAATGATGATTATCAGATTGTTTCCTAGTTTTTAATTTTTTGGGGTTTTCCCCAACATCCCTCTATATATATTAAATGTCAAAAGATGGATGAACTCTCTCATACTTTCACACATAAATCCATCACCAAGCATCTTCTAATTCGTCATATTCAAGTATAAACTTGAATTCACTTGTTTTATCCTCTAAAACCATCTTCAATCGGACGAAAATTTCATGTTTTCGCCGTTTTCACAACTCTAATCAGGCAATTTTTTTCGACCACTCCATTTGAACGGCAAATACGCCGTGTAGATGGTCCTCACCCACCAGCCTGATTAATTTCCATTAAAAACTTATTTTCATTTGAATAAATAACACAAATATTATTTTTATTATGTAAATTAATATATATGTGTGTGTATATATATATATATATTTAAATTTTAAATTTTAAATAAGATACATCAATAAATAATATT